CTAGGTATTCACGAAATGAAGCTATTGGGCCGCTCAGAACTATTGGATCTCGATTTTCGATGAGAAGTTAGCACCCCATTTTTAAAAAATTGTTTAAAAATACTTATTAAGCGGAACTCTTGTTATAAATTATATAGAACTCTTTGTCTCGTCAAAAAGAAACGGGAACTCTATTCAGAACTCCTGAGTACTATAGTTGGGGTGCTAACTTCACATACCCGGAATTAAGCGTGTGAGTGGAACGAGTGAATAAAAGGCCTGTTTAATTATTTATTGGTGTTTTGTTTAATAAATCTATGTTAGTGTTACACCAAAGTGCCAGTCTCGTTTTTATTTGCGAGAATTACCGTTCCAATAATTAATTAAGTTATCATCGCAACTCTACGGGACATCACCCGACGACACGACCATCTCCGCTGAACGGCCAATCAGAAGGAAGCAAGGAAGGAAGGCAACCAATCGGCGACATCCTATCCGCAAAGGCCGAATTAATCGGGACAACGGGGACCCAGTAACCCTTCTCTGTAGCAGGTCAAACAGAGTGGCGACCGAAAACGTAAGTCACTAGCAGTGAATAATAATCCGTAAGAGTAAAAAATTAATTGATTCCATGAGATATTTCAAAGCCTAGCCAGAAATCCGGTTACACCCCCACCCCATGGCACGTGTATTGTAGAGGTTAGATTATAAAGTATAATTAAAAGAAATACTAAGTATAACAAGATCGAGGCATTATTTCCTTTTTTTTTAACTAGTACTTTTATATAAACCAAATAACAAACTCAACTTCACTATTGAACACGTCGGACACATTAAACGTGATAATATATGACAAAATAGGTTGGGAACACGCGGACGCGCATTGCGAAAGTACACGAATTGTGGAAGTGAGAAGCGATTGTCTGCACCGTGATGTTTGCTGCAGCTCTTAATTATCGTTAGCAATATAGTTGTATTACATATATGATTTAAGAACGTCTCAAATACAGTTTTAAGATGTCATGAACCAATCAGAGGACTGCATTAGTGTCTTAAGAAATTACTTAAGACGGTCTTGAAATAAGAATCTGAATACCAGCCTAGAGTCCCTATAATGAGAGTCTGGACATGAGGTGCGGTCGTCTCTGATTGGACGCCGCCATTTGTAGGCCCCTTTCGATGTGGTAGTGAATCTGTGAATTGGTGTGAGCAAGTGTGTGGTGCAGTAGTACAGAAAGATTTCGCGAACGCGAAATCGGACTGTCACCATGGCACGGTGATGCTATTTGTGGTGCGAGATCAATACAAGGGATCAAGACATCAATTATTACGTTTGCACGGCACGCTTTACGCCGAAGTTATAACATCGATGTTATGAAACTGATCAATCACAGTTATTCCATTCTTCAGAGGAACAGCTATGATTGGCCAGTTTCATAAC